TAAATATGACCTTTAGACAAAAGTTCAGTTACAGACAGACGTACGGATAAACAGGAAGTTGACATCAGATTTGAACAGAAATGAATCCCACCATATGACATGCCTCAGAAAACATTGTTTTAAAATTTCAAGCATATGCAATGAGTAGTTGCTGAGAAAACTGCGACAAAAATTTGTTATGTACGGAACGGACAGTTACACAGATAACCAGGAAGTTGACATTGGATTTGAACAGAAATGAATCCTACCATATGACATGCATTAGCAAAGAATGTGCAAAAATTTCAAGCATCTGCAATTGGTAGTTGCTGAGAAAACTTCGACAAAAAGTTATTTTGTACAGAACGGACAGTTACACAGATAAACAGGAAGTTGACATTGGATTTTAACAGAAATCAATCCAACTATATGGCATATATCCGCAAAATGTGCTAAAATTTCAAGCATCTGCAATGAGCAATTGCTGAAAACTGCGACGAAAATTTGTTTTGTATGAAACGAAAACTGCGACAAAAAATTTCTTATCTATGATACAGACAGAACAACTGATAAAAAGGAAGTTGACATCGGATTTGTACAAAAATTAATCCAACCACATGGCATCCCTCAGCAAAGAATGTGCTAAAATTTCAAGTACCAGCAACAAGTAGTTGCTGAGAAAAAACTGCGACGAAAATTTGTTACGGATAGACAGACAGATGGACAGAAACACAAGGGGAAAACAGTGTATGTCCCTCTCTTTAGGAACGGGGGTATAATTAAAGTTATTAAGTTTATTATTAACCTGGACAACCATAGCAATTCTTCGTTTCAGATGCATCCCCAGTACAGGGTTTGCCTCCATTTTCTGGTTTCGGGTTCGTACAAGATCTTTCTCTAGTCTTCTGTCCATGTCCACAGTTGTTTGAACAGCTACCCCATGAAGTCCAAAGAGTCCAGCCTCCATCAACTGTAACAAATAAAATTGTTTACATTTACAGCAGTCACCCCAAGGTGCCCAAGAAGACCATGCTAAGATAATCAAACTATTCTTAAAATTCATGTCGCTCATCTTAATGCATCACCTAAAGTGTTTTGGAGGAAAAATTATCTTCCAGGTTGGAAGCAAAGGAAATTCATAAGGGGCCTTTTCTTCGTGATTTATTTTCAAAATTTAAAAAAATAAAAGCATATTCCATAAATATTCCAAATACGATGTACTTTACCGATTTATGCAGTAAGAGATCACTTTTCTGTGATGCTCAGTCTATTACATGTATACCTGGGCAAGGTTGCACAGAGCAGCTCTTCATTTGACTTTCTTGTTTGAAGCATTTGTAACGGATAGCTTCATCTGGGGTCAAGTTGCAAGAGCGTGACCTTCGTGTCACTCCTCCTCCACACGTGACTGGACATATATCCCAAGAAGTCCATATTGGGTCTGGTTTTCCTCCTTTTAACAAACAATAGGATTCACTTCTTTTATAAACGCTATGAACAATGTACAATGTATAAAAGAAAACTACTATTTACTTTAAGCAGCGTTGAAAAATAATATGAACTAGATAAGGACGACTGTTATAGGTATCGCATTTATCCTAGGAAAACACTGAGGTAAGATAGTAACCTGGACAGCCAAGGCAACTTCCAGTCTCATCAGCATCCCCCACGCAGTTTGCTCCTCCATGCTCCGGCTTTGGATTGTCACATGTTCGTGAGCGTGATCTACTGTTTACGCAACAATCACCCCATTTTGTCCAGGATGACCAGGAACCGTCAACTACACGTATCATGAATATTCATAAATACAGAGAATTTCGAATTTGCATTTTAGGTAAGAAATATAGAAGAACGTGTATCTGAAATTTACCATTTTAACGTTTTCTACAGATGAAAATTCTAAGATCTGAAAATCTCAATCAACATTTCTATGACATTAACCTTCTCTGATTTTTACCATATGAGAAGATCAAATAAAAAATCAAATATGATTTAGGGCACTTCATTACAGATCAAACAACGCGGTAATGCAATATAATACTGTTACTTACTTGGACACGGTGTGTTTGTTTGACATTTCTTCTTTTGCTCCTCTTTATAATAGCACTGTTCCTGGTCCTTCTCACTGTCTGTGAGATCACACTGCCGACTTCTCGCCTGTGATCCGTCACCACAGGTTACAGAGCAGACAGACCACGTCGTCCACGGAGTCAAATTTCTCTGAACTAAAAATGAAATAATATTATTTATCTATGAATGTAGTGCTTTAACATGTCGTTTCAAGGAAAATCTTCTAATTTAGAAACATTTCACTTATATTTTTTTAATTAAATTTTTAGCATATAAATTATCCGGATGTAAATTTTATGGTGGATACAATGGCTATATTTGCAAGTACAATTTGTCGTCAGATGTAATGTTAACTGACGTCCTTTTAAAAAAAAATCAGGCCTTTATTTTCACACTAAATTGACTTCCGATTTATTCGTTTACTAGCATCCAGTCGTGTTAAAGGCGCACGGGCAGAGTGACCAGTTGACAGAAGATACTTACTCCTTCATGGCACCTAATCCCTCTTCCAATGATTTCAGAGGTCGGTGTTTGCTCTACTCACAATTTATATTTCTAATTATAATTACTGTTTCATAGCACAGGTACTTGTGGACTGGACCCCTCCCAACCTATACACCCCTGGTCATTTTTTTTTCTTTTTTTGTTATGAATTATGTTTCTAATACTTATTTACAACGTATTCCATATGAAAAATCCAAAAAATAACAGATTTAACGATTTACTAAAAAAGTCATACCCTTTGATATTCATATATATTCATCGATAACAAATGCATTACCGCGATTTTGTCACAAATTTCTCAATGGTAGCGTCTACATACTTTTATATACTAATTTTTATTAGAATTCAGATGTGAATTGTACTTCACTACATGGTGAATTATATTGAATGGAATTCGTATTCCGTTTTATTGCTGGCTGATTCGATATGTAGCGGTAATGAGTTGTTTTTTGCGATGGTCCGATTGATGAAATGTAGCGGTAATGATCGCCCGAAAATTTGAAGAAATGTAGCGTAATGAGTTGACATTTTTGGCAATGTAGCGGTAATGTTGACCCCCAGGCTAACGAAAGGGGCAATGTAGCGGTAATGTATATTTTTTTCAAACTGTAGGGGTGATGTAACCTTTTTGTAGCGATAATGGCTATGTTGTGGTAATTGAAATTTCTTTAACGTAGCGATAATAATATGCTGCCCCTTTAATATTAAAACCCCCAAAGATTAGGTTAGTATCATACGTGGACATCCTGTGCATTCTTCCTCTTGTGTGCCATCACCCAGGCAATCTTTTCCTCCATGTTCTGGTGGTGGATTGTTACAATCTCGTCTTCGCGATCGTTTCCCTCTACCGCAGTTGTTAGAGCATTTTCCCCATGATGTCCATGGCGACCAGTTACCATCAACTACAAAATTCGAGCATGGACACATGTACGTGTAGTAGAAATATGAAAAAATAATTATTTTTTGATAAAAGACAGGTATTTTTGCAGTTATTTTTAAGCTTGAAATATAACAAGTAAAATGTCTGTTTACAAAAAACTGAAAATAAAGTACCAGAAAGAGTAATTCAGTTACCTTTGTTCTTATGTAAGTAAAACCAAACGACCCATTGTTTTATTATCATTAAATGCAGGGACTTATAGTATTCTACAAATCCTTCCACATAGAACACGCTGACAATTTTTCCTATTGACATGTGATCAAAAGTTATTTGGGAATCCTACTCACTAGGACATGGTCTGGGATTACAGGATCTCGACTCGATCTCGGAAAATCGACAATTGTGTGCGTTCGATTCGTCATCTGTTAAGTCGCACTTCCTGGTTCTTCTCTGACTTCCGTCCCCACAGGTCGTCGAACACGCACTCCATGTTGTCCAATCCGTCACTTTCTTGTTTGCTAAAATGGGATTTTATCACTATGTATTTGCTCTGGTAATCAAGTGAAAACGTCATTTAGAATCGATTTGGGCTGACTGAAGTTTTTCATACTAATTGTTAACAGATTTTTCTGTTATTTCCCGATCATGACAAGAGCACACTGCGAGTGTGACCGGTCGGAAGGAGATGCCCACTCCTCCAAGGCACCTGATCCAACCTCTGATATTTTGAAGGTCCTTGTTTGCTCTACTCCTGTTTTGTATTGTTTTATGGACTTTGATTTTGAAAACAGTTCATTTTCTCCATATCCTTCATGGGTAAATTTGCAGATCTAAGACAAGAGAACATTACTTTCAGAGTTCCATTCTTTACTCATCATAATCATCACCTACAAGCAGCTCTTCAGAGAAATCAGAGTCAGAGTCTGTACTATCGACACTATCGGCACTGTCTATGCTTATCCCAAGGAAAGACTTCTCCAGATATAACATATCTGTACAGTTTAAACATGAACAGTCTTTCATACACAAGTCACAACAAGTGTGGTTGCCACTCTGCACTTTCACCGAATTCATCTCGGATTCTGATAAGAAGTTGGTCATCAACATCTGTCTTCGACAAGTGGCAGCTTTGTAAAATTCTTTTACTTCAGTTTCCTATGCGATCTCAAATGGTGTCCATGATGCAGTAGTAAGGCAAGAGAAGGCTGCTCATCCCTTCCCACTCTCCAATCTCCTGGAATAAATCCACGATTAATCTTGTGGAGTCCCAAGAAGATGAGAGAGTGACAGTCTTTAACATCAATCCCCATGCCCAGTGCATTGGTCGCTATAATGAGCTTCCATTTAGATGATGGGTCCTGTAATAATCCAAGTATTGAATCCTTTTTTTCCTGTTCTGTTTCAGAGTGGTACATTTCAATTTCACAGTCGGGTAGTTCTTTGCACAAATAATTATATATGGCTGCACAGTCTGTTATTGAAGTACAGTACATCAGCGTTTTCGGAAAATTGTAATCCGTGATTGCATCTGCAAGAAATGCCATAGAATGTTCTATATTGTAAGGCACCTTGGAGACACAGAGTTTTACATTGGCTGGATTTGGTGGAAGTTTGATCACCTTGGTAGATGGTGACAAACATAAAACTTTCATCACTCTATGTTGAATCTTCAGAGTGCATGTAGCACTGAGAGCCACAACAGAAGCTTTGGGAAATAGAGATCTAAGCTCTCCTATGTGAGAAAACCATTTTTCTAAATGCTTTCTTTTGGTTGTCTTCATCTGTACCCCTGAAAAGAATATATATACAGTGTAACACATATTAGACAGTCTGACAATTGATTAAGGAAAAATATTACATGTCATATTCTGTTTATGTGTCACTGACAGGGACATAGGAATATGCTGCATGATTTAAGTTAGGTAAAAATATATGACTTACCATGTTGCTATTGTGTGAAATTCATCCACTACTGATGGTGTCAACTTGAAGTTTTTGCAACGAAGACCTCCACTCTTTTTCTTCCCAACAAGAGTCTCTGGGGATCCAAATATGAAATCCACATTACCATCTCTAATGGCAAAATCACCTGTCTTGTCATTGCCTGTAATATGTTTGAAAAATACAACTTATTTCTTGTTGTTTTCTGCCACAGTCTTTTCAATGAGTTTTCATGTGTAAAATTGATGAAAGGTCAAGCAAATAATCAGGAATTCAAATGTTTAATCCAAATGTATGGAAAAAATAATTTTATTTTCCAATTTTGGGACCATCTGAGAAGACATTTATAAAAGGTTTTTAGCTCACCTCGACGAAGTCGAGATGAGCTTATGATATACCCCCGGCGTTGGCGTCGGCGTTAGCGTCGGCGTCCTAGGTTAAAGTTTTAGGAGCAAGTCCATTCCCAAGTAACTATAAGCCCTACCTGAACCAAACTTGCATGGATGATGCATCTAGGGATGTACACTACAAGACTTGCTTCGGATGCTGATCTGACCTACATTTTCCAGATGAGTGACCAGGTTAAAGTTTTTGGAGCAGGTTAAAGATTTTGGAGCAGGTCCATTCCTAAGGAATTATAAGCCCTAACCAGACCAAACTTGCATGGATGATGCATCTAGGGATGTGCACTACCAGACTTGCTTCGGATGCTGGATCTTACCTACATTTTCCAGATGAGTGACCAAGTTAAAGTTTTTGGAGCAGGTCCATTCCCAAGGAACTATAAGCCCTACTCATACCAAACTTGCATGGATGATGCATCTAGGGATGTACACTACCAAACTTGCTTCGGATGCTGGATCTGACCTACATTTTCCAGAGGAGTGACCAGGTTAAAGTTTTTGGAGCAGGTCCATTCCACAGGAACTATAAGCCCTATTTGGACCAAACTTGCATGGATGATGCATCTAGGGATGTACACTACCAGACTTGCTTCGGATGCTGGATCTGACCTACATTTTCATTCCCAAGTAACTATAAGCCCTATTTGGACCAAACTTGCACGGATGATGTATCTAGGGATGTACACTACCAAACTTGCTTCGGATGCTGGATCTGACCTACATTTTCCAGATGAGTGACCAGGTTAAAGTTTTTGGAGCAGGTCCATTCCACAGGAACTATAAGCCCTATTTAGACCAAACTTGCATGGATGATGCATCTAGGGATGTACACTACCAAACTTGCTTTGGATGCTGGATCTGACCTACATTTTCCAGATGAGTGACCAGGTTAAAGTTTTTGGAGCAGGTCCATTCCACAGGAACTATAAGCCCTATTTGGACCAAACTTGCATGGATGATGCATCTAGGGATGTACACTACCAAACTTGCTTCGGATGCTGGATCTGACCTATATTTACATTCCCAAGTATCTATAAGCCCTAGCTAAACTAAACTTGCATGGATGATGTATCTAGGGATGGACACTACCAGACTTGCTTCGGATGCTGGATCTGGCCTACATTTTCATTCCCAAGTAACTATAAGCCCCAGCTTAACCAAACTTGCATGGATGATGCATCTAAGGATGGACACTATCAGACTTGCTTCGGATGCTGGATCTGACCTATATTCTCCATACAAGAGACTTGGTTAAAGTTTTGGGAACAGATCAATCCGAATGAACTTGAAGACCTTGATATATGCAGTATTAACAGTTATGAATATTTGTTTACACTATACATATTTTTCACGCTACAGGCTTAGAAATGTGTATATGCCATGTAAGGGGTTAAACACAACTTGCAAGAATATTGTTGTTCACTCAAGGGATGAATACTAAATATTAAGAAAATATGATGTTAGATTTGCATTACTTAAACTGATAACATTCGTCGAGGTGAGCTTCGTAATCTTTGATTACCTATGTTTTTACAATAATAAGATTAAAAGATGTGCATATACAGTTGTGTGCCATAATTTATGTTAATTTTTTTTCTCTTTATATTTCATTGAAAACAACATTTTGTAAAATCTGACACTGGCAAATGGTCATTTTTTGTGCAATTTAATTATTCATTAAACCAGAAAATGTGTAGTTACCTTTCTTTAAAAGATCCTTACATTTTCAGTTTTTAGTAAACATGGTAAAAGATAGTTCATCACTTAACATCAATTCTAAAATTCAAGTTAAATGTTACCTTTATTCATGCAGTATATAATATGTATTGTATGTGCATGATGTGACTTAAAATTCATGTCACACTTAAAATTACAATTAAAGAAAAATACATGTATCAATGCTGATCACAGTGATCAGAGATAAAAACTATTGTTTTCATCAACTTCAACAATAATTTCTTGTATTATCAAGAAAAATGTGATAAAATATGTCAAGAATTGTTGTCATATCAGTGACTGTACAAAAATTAGTGGTTTTTTTTTTTTAATGAAATATATATAGAAAAAATAAAATGATCTCTAGTTATGGCACACAACTGTGTATACTTGCAAATTAATTCAAGTGTTTAATACATATTGATCACCTAAAAGGGATGAATTTTAAAAGGAAGAATTTTTCCTTTTTTTAAAAAATGAAAAGTAGATTAACTTGCCGTCCAAAAATGAAGAAGGTTTTCTTTGTACATAACTTTCAATATTGGTTCAAGGTAGCTGCAGAACTTTAGCTCTCCGAAAAAAAATAATTGACAGACCAGAGGGCTATTATAAATAATTATAAGGCATGTTTTGCTGTGAAAACAGTGAGAAAATGTTAGGAACACACAGTCAGTAATATATTGAGATAAAAGTTTTAAAAACATGGAAAAATAAATCGAGAAACAGTGCACTTTTTGTGTGCAATCAATATACAGTTTTTTTTTTCAATGGGTGGCTCTGTAGCCCTCCGGTCTGTTAATAATTATTTTTTCGGAGAGCTACAGTTCTGCAGCTAGGGTCAAGGGAACATATATAATTTATTCATAATTATTTTTTTTTCTAACACACAAAAACTCTCTCACCCACAAGATATTTGAGCTTCCCCAGCATCTTCAAAAATTATATTTATTTCTTATATATCATTGATATTCTATAATCAAAACATATTTAAACGTATTTAAAATGAATTCTGTAATTGTAAATTACGAGAATGGAGATCGGTGTGTGAATTCCCCGCACAAGTCACAAAAGCGGGGGTTAGAGTCAGAGGAATCTCGGATTATAGCTTATATATGCATAGAGTTAAAAATTTAAAAAATGCATTTAATTTATTTGTAAACAAACAAAAAGTTTATTACCTTTTTTTAATTTATATTGCCCAACATCACAATTTGTATGAAATTATAAACAATTTATGAGCTTTTTTACATTTTGACTGGTTTCATTCGCACCCACTCTTACTGACTTACATACAGTCTCATTCTTTAGATTAAGAAAATAATAACAAAATGGTTTGGGAAAGATCAATAATTCATATATCTTATTACAATTTTACTTAGAACATATATTTACTACTCTGTATAGATTTATATTGATAAATCTCTTTATGAAAAACAAACAGTATATAATATTCTTATAATAAGCTTACTTGAAATATGTTTTTCCACAAAGACCATTCTTTTTCAAATTTATCTATGTGGAAATTTTTGAAAGCTATACATTTCTCAATATTATGTTTCAATTTAATTAAGAAATAAACAACGTTATTCAGTGAACATGGCGTTATGAATAGCAATTGCTCTGCTGGCATATTCCATGATGCGCGCTTAAAGCGCATCATGGAAAATATGCCAGCAGAGCACTTGCTATTCATAATGCCATGTTCACTGAATAATCGTTGTTTATTACTTATATTTGCATTCTTTGATTTTTTAAAGAATATCAGAGGAAATCCTGACTTACATCATGTACATGAGGACGCGGCTCACTTGTCTTTAATGAAAAACATACAGCTTTGAAATCATTACACTTGATCAATGATCCTTTTCTCTAAAGAATCACAAACAATTTATAAAGTATTGCCCTCTCAAACAGTTATCTGGATACAAGCAGGGCCGTCATCACATTCTCTTAATTTTTGTTTTGATGCAGTTGTGACGTCATCGATCAACGTTATTGAAACCCTCTGACAAAAATCAATAATTTAACACTGTAATGAAAAATGAAGATGCTTTTATAATGATTATTATTCCAGAATGCTTTTCTATGATTTTTTTTTTTAGCTTTTCATAATTATTTTTAATAGCTGAAATCATTCTTGATATACTAGTTAAAGAAATTTCCTCTTTCTGAGTGTTATTACCCGAGTGTGAAGAGTTATCTTTCTTTGTACAAATATATATGATATGAAAAAATAAAAATATGGCAGTTATCTATAACTTTAAAAAGTTTTATTTTACAATTAAATACACTGACCAAAATTAAATTTTTAAAGATATAAATCAGCAATTTTAAATAGTCTGAATTTCTTTTTTTCCAAAAAATATTATTATAAACTTATTTTTAGTGCTTTTACGAAACACTTCATATATATACTTCTCAATATGGTATATCTGTGTAGTAGAACTTGTTCTACACGAGTGAGCTAGAGCAATTGCACTCATAGCAGAAGCAGTTGCGACTATAGTCCTATGAACGCAGTTGCTGGCTGCAGGTTCATAGTGGGAGACAGCAATAGATATGCAAATATTGTGATTTAATAAGCCCAAAAGATTTGGAATTTTATCTTGCATTAAACATGTAAAAATGTATTGTTTTGCATATAATATTATAAAATTTTTGACTCTGTTGTTATATGTCATTGGTATTTCACCTAGAATAACATTTTCAACATTAAAACC